GTATATATAAATACATATTCATATTGGTGCATGTTTTGTCCTGTTTGTCCTGTTTGTCGCACACGAATTCACAGTCAGTCAATATTCTCCTGGACATTTCAGAGATAGCAGTCTCGGATTGTGTTCTGTTTGCACCTGATTGGCATGTGTGTTTGCCATTGCATGAATACAAATACTATATTACAGATTTTCGGCAGCGGTGCCCTTATGATTAAATTCGGCTTGCAGTCTGATCACTAAACTGCTGCTTAAATCAGTATCTAAGAGATGTGTAGATGAACCCGGGAGTTATCTTTTCCGCCTCGATTTCTGAAACTGATGTTGATTCCTCCGTGTTGGCTTTGATATCAGTTGGGTGACCAGTACGAACGATCATCTAAGTGGTCTCTGAATCACGGCCAGGATCTAAATTTTGAACGCTTTCACAATCTTCCACGGCCTCGAATCCTCCTCATCATTATGATCGTTATTGGCTTGCAGTCTGATCCCCAAACTGTTAGCTAATTCAGGACCTGAGAGTTGGGTAGATTTAGCTCATTCTTGGTGAACTTAAAACCGAGAGCTTCCATATCCCCGTTGAATTCCAAATGTGTTGTTGAAGTCTCCGCGTTGTGATACCGAGTTGTGGGTGACCAGTACGGGCGGACATCTAAGTGGCCTCTGAAATCATGGCCTGGATCTGAATTTCAAAACTTCTCACGACCAATCTACCACAGCCTGAAACAGTACTAAACCGAGAATATCCATATTTTCCTTGATTTCCAAATCTTTTGCTGAGACTTTCGCGTTGGCTTTAATAAGGGTTGGTGGGTGATCCGTACTGGCGGACATACTAGCGGCCTCTAAAATCACGGCGGCTCTTTTTTAAATAGTCATTGCGTTATGGACTTTACCAGGATCTAAATCTTAAGAAGTTCCACGACCAGGAAATCTTTTACGACTTCACCTCCTTTCCGCAATTATGATCGAATTCGACTTGCAGTCTGATCAGCAAACTGTTGGGTAATTCAGGATCTGAGAGAATTCCGGTGAAGCACGCATATTAAAACTTTGCTCGTATATATCCTTAGCTTGTGCACGTGATATCTGTGTGTCTATCTGTAGTAGATAGTGAGACCCTGGTGTTCCTTCTTCTGGAAGAATTAAGAGTGATGTCAATAACTCCGGTCGGGGGTCCATCGAAAATTGTTGGACAAACATCTCGCTTTGCGTAACTGTAGCCTTGGCCTAGTCCAACTTGCTATACTTTTATATGTGCTGCCGCGAACCAAAAACTTTTGCGCATATTTCTTTAAAGCTAAACTACTCGTAGACACCTGCTTGTCCTCTCAACCCGGTCGGTATGTAGTGGGCAGCTTCCCTTTGTCCTTAAACTTCTTGCTATTTCCAGTCTTCTCGATTTGAATTGCAAGCAGCTCAGAATCTACCTTAAACTGGTGTTAATGTCTGGCCATAGATAGATACAGATTAGTCTTCACATGCCTTCGTCCGGCATCTAAAGCTGAAGCAGTAATAGATTTTGAAGATTTCTGTATACAGGCTGCAATAGTTGGCAATCCTTGATGCACTTGTCGGAAGCTCAAAGTGTAAAAGCCCTGATTGTTGCTGTCCATGCAGCCACATATCCTTCTCGTCCTCAGAGCCTTTTGTAGTCACTAAGGGAGCAAAGAAATCAGTGACAGCTGGGAAGCTGTAGGTGGGGCTGTTGGAGTCATTTCCTGTCTCGCAAGACCAGGTCGACATGTGTCGTATGCTCATGCCTAAGAATCTGATCTCTCTTTCAGATTCCATCAAAGATTGTCCCTCCTTTAGCATGGGTTGGGAGTCAGGCGACTCGCAATCAGTTGGTTTTGGCAACGACGAGTCTTCTCGATCAGTCGCTATCTCATGAGCCACGAGCGCATAGTACAATATCAGTGCATCAATACTAGGAACTCCTCCAGGCATTTCCGAATCAAGAATACCACATCAGGTTCAAATAGCTTGTGCAAGCTGCCATCTCGTTTCGTCAACATCACTTCAGAGAGTCACTTCTGAAACCGGTGAAACCCCTTCCTGTTTTTCTCGTTGCTTAGTTTTATAAAATACTTAGCGTCCTGGAAGATGCCATAGCCGAAATGCTTTACAGTCGCGTGCATTATGTTTTGCGACGAGAACCTTCCATCTGACATGGTCTTACATAGGTTCAGAAAAAGTTTGGGATGTGTGTGCCTATCAACAGGATATACTTTGCCCTGGACTACGCCTTCCGATAATTTTCCATGTGGACACAGTGGCTTAGGCGAATATTTACAACCGGCCCAGACCTATGAGAGGATTTTAGGACAGGGCCAGGGGACCGGACCTAAGGGACCATTTCGGGACCGGACCTGCGGACCGGACTGGAATAGTGAAATAGGGAAACTAGTCGAGCGAATGACGACTCACCGAATGTCAATATAATTTAGGCGGTAACTTGGAGACCAACCCCATAGATACGGACATTTTCACAATCATCCGTTGTCAGAGAAAATCTCGTATCAAATAGGGGCCGTTCACAAAGGCACCTCTGAATGAGTTCGCTTGTTTCAGAGTTGATACTATTTACTAAGCGCTACTCGGTTCTGATTGATTCCGATTTTGACCGAACTACTGCATTTATTGTAAAACGACGTTTTTCATAGGCTAGCTTATCTAAAAGTCAAATTAGGTGTGTTTGTTGTTTTTTTGCTTACCGCGATGAAGGGATCTACCACCATAGCGATACCTGAGGTGGGCAAGCAAGCCTATGAGCGACTGTCATAACGATTGCTTGGAATTCGTCGCCAGCTGCCTTTGATCTGTGCTAAGGCAAAGACAGCATTATCTACGGATACGACACCTGTTTCGCTGGACCGATTGGTTTTTGAGGCCCGACACTCGACTTCTAAGTTGGATAAAGCCAAACAGCGCCTGGAGTAGATAATACTGATCGGGATGGCCACTTAAAAATGCTGAATTTATTCAATTTAGTCGTGTGCAAGTCCGCACTCTTCGTGAAATTCCAACCGCGGACGTTGACTCAACTACCGACACTGGCACGGTCCAAACGGCTTCGGAGCATAATTATTCTATGCAACAGGTAGCACCACCATCACAACCACGTTAGGCTTCTTAAACTCCAATACAGGCATGAGCAACATCAACTGGTCATTTACCTGACAGTGCGGCTAACAATATGAAACAATTCAACCCAGTGAAGCACATAATTAGACGCAGGAAGCCAGTACCTCAGGTGGCCTTACGGTAATGTGCATGTTACTCGTTGGGAGTTTATGTCGAAACACGCACAAATTTGGGCGCAAGAAATTTGGAAATTTGGAAGACCCACAGGACGTGAAACGCTGTAAGGTATCAGAGTCTAAAGAAACTTGTATCCCTGAGTCTACAGCAGCAAAGATGAAATTGCAAGCCTTTCATCTTACCCAACACATGATGCAAGCAGAAGCGAGGTACGCATAGAAGATGCACACTTGTTACAGGGTCTGATTTGTACATCTAATGAGATTCTAAAAAGATGCTCAGTGACATCAGACAAACGGATACCAAAGCCGCAAGGCAGCTATTATTTGAATATCCCACAAAAAAATACAGTTACATGAATTATATTGGAGTATCATAAGAATGATGGATCCAATTCATTTGTGTTTTGGCCTTCACTTAACTCTACAGATAGAAGGGACTTCTAAGGCGCTACAATCGAATGAACGCAAATTACAGTCTACTTCGTTGGAAGAGTTTACTCATTCCGTGTACGCATACAACAGCAGGACTTAGAAATCAACGAATATAGATAAGTACTAGCACACATGGAGCTTGAGCCTTCAGTACCACTAGACACGCAGATTCGTTATTTTGAACGCAAAGTGGAATATGAGAACCCGCTACTTGGTCTATCGCAAACATGGTGTGCTTACTGTTATATGTCAAGCTACTACCGTGATACCCTTCGTATGCATCCGCATTGTCGTGACTACGAGGCTGAGAAGATGCGTGAAGTATTCCGTATAAGTATTGACAAGGCGAAAGAACAAGGTCAACAAAATCCATCGCGACCACTACAGGTTCTGGGATTCACGTCCGCGGTCATACTTCCATTCTGATGCAAACACACGGGCTGACCCTCATGCGCCACCAACATCGAATGCTCGTGTTCGTTGTCGGTCATGTGGATAGAACCTTCCTCCGGAAACAGGACACGCAAATCACTGCCCACACAGACAACAGAACCCATCAGCCCATACCAACACGAGGCACCGCACACAATCTGGCGGGGCTCCTGTGCAACGTGCATCTACTACAGGAACGTCGACACGTGGGCTACAGGGGCCAGGTGACAACTTCTGAAATGGGTATTACCGCAGGCTACCCGTGGGATCATATACAAATGAATCTCATTCCTAGCAGCCACATCAACAAAAGAGATCGAATTCATTCTTTATGCATTGGATGTGGCGTTGTAATAGCCGGGTCTCCACATTAGACTCTATGTTATAAACGTACTCTTAAGCAGTACGTATACTAAAAACGTACTCTTAATAGTACGAGGGACTTAAGTTTCCTATATGGTTTTTAATGGTTTTATTAATTAATACCTTTTCCATTTTACATATCAGATATTTGGACGAGGCCATTAAAAGGCCTCAGTAAAATACCAAACATAAGAGTTGGTCTAGTTATATTAATAGAACTATATTTACTTTCCAACTTTATTTATATCTGAATACTTCGGTAGCGAGATGGCTCAACCGAATATAGGTTTCTAGGGACTATTAACATTACCTAGTTGATCCTCCGATCAGCCAACCGGATGTGCCAGTCTGATGAAGGCTAAGTCGGTAATTCTTGATAAGTGGCAAGTTATTGGTTAAGACAATAACTAAAGACATCAAGAGTATTTTTTTATTTTTTTATATATTTTTTCTAAAGATAGGATTTTTTAGTCTCTCAGATTCGCCCCAATGAAACACACCATAGTTTCTAATAGAGCGACAACGAAACACTAAATAAAATCCCTTCGGCGGAAACAGTACTGAGAGGATTATATATAGGCAATGTCTCAGCCTCACAATCCCTCAGAGTATTACTGTTTTCACGAGGCATACCTAACTTTACCGAAAGGCTCATTTTGGTTATTTACTTCGAATTCTACGATACTTAGACTTGACCTATGCGTTTAATTACTCTAAGGCGTTAATATCGCCTTGATAGACCGAATCTTACACATTTTAAAGTTAGCAAAGGTATTAATTACTTAGATTACTTAAACGTAAAGGTATAAAACTACCACAATTTTTTTCTTGTCCAGGCTAGTCCTTAAGAGACCAGCTAGCAGTCATAAGTTAAGATTATGACTAAGAAAGACAATACTCCTTCTAAGAAGCGTAGAGCTGAAAAGAAGAGGATGGAGAGAGACGCCGCTGCAGCAGCCGCATTTAACGCGACCGCAGAAGAGGACAATCAATCCGTAACCGAAATCATTGCTACTGGTATTATTAACCAGGACAATAAAACAGATAAGGGTGAAGACACTCCATTAGGAGAGAAGTCCCATGAAGAAAGAGTCAGCGGGCCAACTATTGCGTCTGCTTCGAAGCTTACGTTTACGAAGCCAAGAAGCGACGCAAAAGGATCGGTTAAGACGATCCCTATCAAACCTGATGAGAACACTCAGAAGGATCTAACTCCAATTGCGAAGAAAGGAGACAACCCGTTTAAGGGAGAGAATGAGAAGGAAAGCTCAGAGAGCCGAGCCAAATCAGAATCAAACCAGCAATCGCACATAAGTAAGTTGATCGATGAGAACACTGAACTTAAGAATCAGTTCGCCGCTCTTAAGAAGCGAATGACCTCGCAGGAGAAGGCGGTTGTTAAGAAACCGCGGGAGCAGACCGATCAAGGGTGCGTATCCAGGCAGACCTCAAACGAGAGACCCCAACATACACGTCCATGTGAATCTAATCAATTTACACGCCCTGTTAAGAAGGTGCGTGCGAAGCACAAGGGACCTGCATACAAGCAGGTTAAGAAATGTGCTGATGAGAAATGTGGTTATAACATGTACCAGTTAACACCTAACGGTTACTGGAACGGAAAGCATGCCCAATCTTGTAAACACTATTTTACAAAATGCGATACATGTGAGGAGACCAATGGCTACCACACTAAATCGTGTAACGTCAGACCCAACATTTTGGTACAATCGTTACACAGACAGTACAACGACTCTTTAGATGAGCGTGTAATAATACCTGTATATTGCAATGGATACAAAATCCTTGCGTTGATTGATCCTGGTTCTGAAATTTCATGTATATCCGATCGCTTTGCATTAATGAAAGATATCGAAAGGAGAACACAAACAACTCACCTCATTTTAGCTGATGACAAAACTTCTACGTGTGATACCATGGCCACAGATGTTAAAATCTCCCTGGCCGATAATAGGAGTATCACTACCCAAGCTATGATAGTTAAGATGTCACAGAAGTACGACATTATAGTCGGAATGAGCGATTTACTCACTCTAGGTATAACCGTAACTGGTCTACCAAATAACATAGATTCATGAAAGGATCAGTTAGACGATAACTGTCTGAACCCATATAAGCCCCCGTCAGACACAGTCAAGGCATTAATACCTGACTTTGCGAACAAAATCATGGATTTGATGCTAGTGAATAAGAAGATAAAGATCACAGATTGGGCAAAATTCCGTTTTAACGACGGATATGTCAGCCTTGACTTAACCAAGGTGGACTTTACACAGTTAAAGTGTCCCTCAAGGAACTATGTATTTTAGGGTTTAGGGTTGTGTGATCAGAAATCTCTTCAATGTATGAAAGAGATGAAACCCGACTCACAATTACTGAGTCGCTGGCATGATACAATACCAAAGTTTCCTTTTGATACAAAACATCTGCCAGGAA